ATTTTGCAGCGTGGTCGCAGTCTCTCTCCCTTTGCAGCAAATACCATTACCTCAGTGTTTCCACCCAGCTCTAATCACTGCCATCTGCAAACACAGCAGCACGTCTCTCTTTGTCTGCCTCGGCCTCCGCTCACATCTCCTGGGTCTGCAGCCTGCCTTCACTCACTCCTACTCTTAATTGTTCATAAAACTAAAAGTCAAAAAGGAGCGAGGATTTGCTGGACGGGAAGTGCATTTTATTTTGTTTCCAGTGACTTTGAAAGTTTCACAGCGAGGTTAAAAGCTTTCTCTCTGAGAGCCGCAGCAGCGTCCTCTGAGCCGCTCAGCAAAAGTGACATCAGTATCTTTTAATAAGCTATTTCCAGCCTGCTCCCCAGCTCCTCCATGGGCTCGTCGGAGATGTTCAGCTCTGACAAAACACAAAGCCTGGCACGCAGGAGGTTGATGCACTTCCCATGGAGCAGATTTGTATTGTTTCGGAGCAGTTACACCTCCTCCTCAGACTCTCTAATTAAACTGTCTCCCACTGGGAACATTTTGACCTGCAGGAAGTGAGGCTGAAACCAAAATCCCAGCTCCACTCCTACCTGATTTGGCTTTGACACCGTCAGTCCACTCCTACCTGATTTGGCTTTGACAGCGTCAAGAAAGAAAGAAAGAAAGAAAAGAATTCCATCTTGTACAAACAAAGCCCTCATGGCTTTATATTTGCATTATCATGCAAAATAACTAAATAAAGACATAAAAACCTGACACATCAGACACATTTACGTACGTAATGGAAGGAAGCGCCAAACAAAATATTCAGAACAACTCGACTGGTGTAATAGAAGACTGTTCCACTAGGAGGAGCCTTTCCTCAGTCCCTGGTTTACAACCATAGACGTGTCATATTGCTACACCTTACCGTCACAGTCTCCTAGATGGGAGGTGGTGTTTCCAAATTCCACATCTTGTTGAAAAGGCAGTCTGTAGACGCAAACAAAGCACATTTTTTAATACAGTGGAGTGTGTATTTATATTCAGGTTCCATATTAGTAAATGTATAGTGCTTACAGGAAAAATAAATCCAGGCTTGAAATGACTAAAATGACTATTTAATGTACAAATCAATTGCTTCTGAGAACAGGTTTGCATTTATTAAGAGTATTTTTGGCGTATTGGATCGAATGTATATGACACATCGACGCTGAGCGTCATCCAGGGTAATGGGATACACTATCGATCCCACGATTGATTTCCCCTTTGTTGTTGATGGTTGGGTCAGAGGTCAGGGTCAGCGGTGCAGGTGCTGATGGAGGGTGGAGGTGAGAAATGTGATCCTAAATATAATTGATTAGCACATCAACTGTAACTGATGCTGAGACATTACATTTACTGATACACTTAAAAAACACCATACTGTTTTTTACATTACATATTACATATATATGTAACTGTATATATATACACACACACACATCACATATATAAGGACATATATATATATGAGGATAGCTTTTGATTACAATCAATGATGATTAATTGTGCTCTAATTTTAATTAATCATGATTGATTGAGATAAATCTAAAAGTATCATTATCAATCAATATCAACAATTTTATCTGATATTATCACCTTTATTTTGACAGACCTAATATGTATACATATACACACACATATATACACACATATATACATACTTGTATATATGTGTATACGTGTGTGTATATTAGAGATACAGCAAGGTTAAGTCAAAGATAGTATTTAATCACATTAAATGCAGAAACTAATGGTTTTCATTGTACGTTATTCATCTCCGCCTTAGTGTGCAGTACATATTAGTTGTATATTTTAAGAATTACTACAAAAGGACAGCTGTTTTAATTAGATTTTCTGTTATCCTCCCAGTGGTTTTAGTGGTTTTGTTTCTTAGTGACAGAGACAGAGCAACAGGACGTGGAGCATTAATGTAAAGTACAAATATAAAACTCTTTGCCTTCACTTATACAGTGTAATGGTGGGTTTTAAGGAGCAGTGAGTCCTAAGACCTGCAGCCCTGACACTCAGCTGTTGGAGTCTCCACTAATGACTCCCACCCACATTTCCCATGTAGTAAACAGTAACAGTGATGTATTCCACAGCCAGGCTCAGTAATGATCCCCAACACTCTCACCACACTAAACCGGAGCAGACGTATGTTGACCGTGCTTAAAAAAAAAAAGAAAAAGTACTCTACACAATATGTGGAAAGAAAGTTTGACACAGTACAACAAGATCCAGAAATACTACTTCTCTGCCTCCTACTGAGAGCAGAACAACTACAACGACAAATACTGCCTACTAATTCAACTACTCCTGATTATGATATGAATATACAGTACTATAATACATTTAGTACTGGCATAACTACTGATAGTACTACAGTACAACTAGAAAGACTACGACCTTTACTACTCTTAATTCCAGCACTTTTACTACTTTAATTTATTCTATTACAGTATTACTATATTCTACTGCTCACTCAGTTACTACAACTACTTACCAACACTTCAATTATTACAAGTACAAATACATCTTCCACCACTTATTGCAGTACTTTCACCCATGACAAATTCTTGTACTGCTTCTGCTAAAAAATAATGTTTGGTTTCATTTTAGCAAACCACTGTACAAATAAACACTGCAGTCAAATAAACCAAATAAACAGCCTGAAGACAGAGGATATCAATTTCCCTTCATCCTATTTTCTCCCTCAGAAACGTCTTATTTGTTCCAAACCAACCTCCAGCTCACAGTCTCTCGCAGACTCACTGATCGCCCTCAGCACAGGTGACCTGAATAAAGGCTGACGAGCAGAGGAAAACGCTGACCCCCGCACAATAATGTCCACGCTTCTACAGCGACTCGTTCTGTGATCACTGAAACCAAACTGTTATATTTCAAACTGCAATACAAACATATCTACGGAGAGTGCCCTTCGTTTCTGCCAATAACCATAATAACCCCTAAATGCTACAAACGGACAACAGCCCCTGCTGCCAGTCGTTTCCAAACACAACAGACAGTGATGATGCTCTTTGGCCAACATCATCCTCTTAACACAACATGTGGAGAGTTGGCAGACTGTGGGTCTGTTGAGGTAGATGCTCTAACTCTACCCACAGGACTGTGTGTGACTGTCTCTCTCTCTCTCTCTCTCTCTCTCTCTCTCTCTCTGTGTGTGTGTGTACGTTTGCAGCCGTTCGTTACCTTGTTCCCGGTCTCAAGAAGGAGCAGGTGCTGCCTCTGGTCCAACCACAGTATGGATCCCTGGAGGCCAGGCAGCTTCTACACACACACACACACACACACACACACACACACACATACACACACAGTATCACTTGAGTTTCTCTGTACAACAGACAATTATAACCCTAAAGTATGAAATATTGTTTCCTCCCATGGCCCCATGAGATTCATTATTCATATAGTCTGTAATATTGAATTTGTAAAAGAGTATGTGGAGCATCTGTGAGTCATTATCATACTCAGGTCACCCACGTGTCCCATTTTTTTTCTCTGCCAGATGAGATAATGTAAAAACATCTGAACAGGGACTATTTTAGTTAACACCACGTTTGAAAACACATCACATGTTTAAAAAAGTGGATGCCATAAAAAGCTGGTCTAATGAAAAATGTTTTAGGCCACATAAGACTGTCACTAGTTCCTCAACCAGCCCACAGACCAGACTTTGGATATGCAAGAAAAAACACTTTACCTTTTTTTTTCTCACAGTTTCTTCTGTTCGGTTGTGATATAATTAAAAGTACAGTAGTAAAAGTCTGTATTTTATAATCAAAAACTAATGAAGGACTTTTGTGCCAGGTACCATTTCTGAGAAACTATTAAAAATATATACGTATAGTGAATGATCTACAGTCTGTGTGTTTCAACAAGAACTTCATCTCCTCTTTAATCAATGAAATAAATTTACACCTCTAATTGGCACTCCATGATTAAGCTTAAATGACAGGCTCTACAAAATCGGCGCGAGAACAGAAATTGACAAGTGTCTTGGCCGGAGGCCACTGTTTCATTTAAACTTCATTAACAGCCACCAAATCACTCAGAGAATGAAAAAATATTCAGCAAGATTTCAGAAAAGTGTCACTGACTTCATGCAGCGAGAATGTAGGTGGCAGTGTGACGTAGGCACCCGGACCAGACAGGCGGGGAAGGCCAGCAGCAGAGTGTGGCTCGTCCGGTCCAGAGACAGAGATAAAAGCTGACGGGCCTGAGGGGAGTCCTCTCCACACCTGGAGACACACGGACGGAGAAGTGTGAGGAGGACAGCAAGCAGAACGGTGAAGAACCAGCAGAGGGAGACTGACATGGTTCCTAAAAATCCAAAGTGACAGACAAAAGGCATGCAGCTCTCCCGCTCTCCCTGCAGAGGGTGCAATTAATTTATCTAAAATGGTCTCACCAATGAACTGAGGGTGCTGCTACAATATTATTGTTAACATACTTTTCTAATAATTCTGTATTAGTGTAAAGAATTATATTGGGCCAAAAACAAATTTGTTCTGAATAGACCTGTCAGAGCCAGTGATTAATTACATGCAGCATTCCTTGGCACTATAGGAGCGCCCACTGATCAGTAGTGCTGTATGCCCATGATGACATCCCAACATAGCTTAAATGTGTCACACACACTTGCAATACACTACTTGGCTAATATCAATCAGATAATTAAATATAAATATAAATCTCAAATGTTCTCTGTAACCACCAGGATTATATCTCTGGTCCAAACGCTCTAATCTCAAATGCAGAAAGTTTTGCAGTGAAAACTACTGCAGTTCTCCTGTTACCAACCTGATATAGGCAGCGTGAGACCTGATCCACCTGAAGCAATATACAGTACCAAAATGTATAATTCATAGTTGTGACATCAAGGTCCAGACTCACTTGTCTGGGTTAAATCCCTCCACCTCCTCCAGAAACACACTGCTGTGGGACGCAGAGTCTCCACTGGGAACCATTAGAAATTTAAGGATAGTTCCCCTGGTGGATCCGAGGAAGAGGACGGTACGGTTCTTATGGGGACCGGCTTCGGTGTCCACCACCATGGCTGTCAGCTGGTATCTACACATAGTGATGATTAACGCTGATTCAACTTTATGTACAGTATTTGGTTAATTATTTTATGTCTGTTTTTGTGCACAATCTACCTTCCCATGGTCTTCACCACCCAGGGTCTGTGACCCAGAAGTGGAACAGTCTCATCCATCAGTGGATGGGTCTTCACAAAGTTCAAAACCTCATCTGGCAGCGTGGTGGAGGAGCTAAATCTGGATCCCTGCACTGCACATCCCCCCGGCCTGCAGACAGAGAGAGAGGGGAGGGGGGCAGAGAGAGAGGGGGAAATAAAAAAAAAGACTGATGGGAAAGCTAGAGACAGGAGTCCGTAGAGAGCAGAAGGAGAAACTGGAGGCTATATTAGAATATTTGCTGAATAGCGGTGAAGTTTCATTCTGACTGACAGCTGGAGTTTACAGCAGGGCAGTGACCAGACTAGATGTGAGACAGACGCTCAGAGCAGCAGCAGCAGCAGCGGCAGCAGCAGCAGCAGCAGCGGCAGCAGCAGCAGCACTGCAGTGTTCTGCCCAAGTTTTGCTCTTTGCATTACATTACCTCGGTTTGGGCACAGCTTCGTCTGGCACCGGAGTCCAAATAGACTCTGGGGATTTCTGCTCTTTAAAGCGTCCCTCAAAGACATGAGCGAGCTGCTGCATGTCAAAGACGCACACCGCAGAGCCAGGGATGCTACCAGTGAGAGAGAGAGGGCGAGAGAGAGAGGGGGCGATGAGACATAAACAGTGTTTGTGTTTATGTTCGTCAAAGTCATGTTTGGTCTCAGCACCTGTTTGGTGGAGTGGAGAAGAGACCCAGGATGACGTCTCGTCCCTGCATGTGAATAATTTCACTGGTGGCGTGCAGCAGGTTGAAGTAGAAGTGCGAGTCTCCGGGTATGGAGCAGTTGAGACGTGCTTTCAGAAACGTGGTCCACTGTTTCTCAAGGACACGCTGAGAGCCGCCCAGGTCGGCCTTACAAACACGGGCCACGCGGGACACCATGACCTACGGATGGAGAAAGTGTTGTTTGTCTCACAAAGACAAAGTATAAAAAAAGGGTCTAAAAGTCACCAGAGAGAAGTAGTTGTATGTGAAGAACGTGTCCTATGCTGGTTTGGACCCTTTGCTGGAAATATTTAAAAGAACCCTGCAGTGTAAATTCATTCAAGTTTCATATTTTGAGTCTGAATCTTTTAGCTAAGTTGTAGCTAACAGGTTAACTAAACCCTATATATATCTATATGTATAATCTATTCCTAAATGATGACATATGGACAATAGAGAAAGACAGAGTTTAGATCAGTGAGAGAGATGAACTTCCAAATGAACTTGGTTTCAGTTTTAAGTTGGTCAATAAATAAATACGCAGTTTTTTTTTTCTCCCTCATAAAAAAAGTTTTAGGTGCATTAAGTTATTACAGATTTAAGTTGTTATTGCTCTTTTCTGGAAATGCACTTTTATATAAATCGTCTCCATTGACGATCCAGAAACAGAAGTGCTTTTTAACTACTCCTAGATCATAGAAATGATATGTGTCTTTTCATTTTCCGCCAGCACTGAGCTGAGATATTCAGCCTCTAGCACACCTGAGCTGAGCACAGACAGGTCTGTGAGCTCGACTCAGGTTACTGACGACACTGTGCTGCAGTGTAAAGGTATCCAACAGTACGTCCTGGATGGTAAATGAAAAACACAGTTGATTAAAAATTAAAGGGTGCTGGACCACAAAAAAAAAA